AGATAAAGTAGGACTGTGAAGTGAGCCCATAGCTTTGCCATCAGACTTTATCTAAATGCTACCATGATAGTCATAGAGGAAAGTACTTGTGTAGTACAGGATAAAATTAGGAGGTGGGAGCAAAGAATCCATATATACACATTTCTTTGACAGGGATATTCAGTCAAGACATTTTTAACATCTGACAAATCAATGGGAGAGCAATATTTGAAGAAATTTGTTAGAATTAATACTACATTTATTTGGTAAGTATGATTGGATCAGATGGTTCAGTTTTTGATAATCAACACCAAAGTAAGGATTTTATTTTTTGAAGACATTTTCCTATACAGATTGCCCAGGTATCAATCACTGAAAATTTTCTGGAGTTTAATGAATTCATTTTCAGTACTAACCTGTTAATTTATTTTTTGAGAAAGCCTGTTGTGTTTTTGTTTACTGCTATTAATCTTAGATCTGTGCTTGAGATATAAAAGTTAAAAAGAAAAGAAAAATATTATATATTTTTCTTTAAACTTTTATATCTCAAGGATATATCTAAGATTAAAAATAGCAGTTGTATGTGTATAAGCAAAGACCTGTTTGAAACAATAAATTTTGAGGATGGAAAAGCTGGGCAAGACCCTGGCAGTGCTGAATATGACAGCAGTTGCTAAAGAGATTCAAAATCAACTGTTTGGGTAGAGATTTAGAAAAAAAGAAAGAAAAAAAAAAGACACTGAGTTTTCATTTTAGGAAATTAAAATAAAAATTTGTTTGGGGTACAAAATGTGTGCCCATATCAGAGTAGAGTAATTAAAATAGTTAAGATAAGAAGATAGATCAACAAGCAATTTAAATTGCTCGTACACACACACAAGTAACTGAAATCCAAGGATCAATCAGGCCCAACAGTTGCTTGTGGACTTTCATTTTGAATTCCTTCAGGTTTTTTCCTATTAAATAAATAGGAAACAGCACACGCAAGAAATAAACAGGATTTTTAATCATGTTGTTTCCATAGTATTATCAAATTATAAATAAAAAACAAAAATGGATGAAAAGCATTTCCAAAATGAATATACCAAGACCACTTTTTTGGCATATCTATTTTGGAGATTTAATTGTGGTTAAAGCTTAATGAAGAGGAGGTGGGGAAAGAAAAAATACTGAAAAGGTACCAAAACATTTGATTGAAAGTTTTTTTTTGAATGCATACCTAACTGGAAACACAATGTCATCAACAGCAACATTAATATTAGACAGTTTCTAAGTGGACATTCTGGCTGTTGGCATTTATATATTTTAAATTTACAATCTCATAAATTAAACTGAAAAACAACAATTTAACCAAAGATGACAGAGATTCAAATGATGGAAGAGTATTTTAAGATGTCAAAGTAGATGGGGGATATTTGTTTTAACTGAAAATATATCTATTGTTGTTTGTATGACAAAAGTAAATTTATCTAAAATCTCCAATAGATTTACTGGCCTTGATATGTGATTATCAATCAATAAACAAAGTTTAAGTTGAAATCAAACAATTGCTTTAGTGAGTAATCTGAGCAATGATTACTCAAAATATTGCATGAAAAGAATAATCGAGTTGTTCAAGAAACAGCTCAAAGAATCAAATAATTCAGTAAAAAAAAATAAAAATTCATCCATTGCCAGTAAGCAGAATAACAGATAGTTACAAAGATCCTCTTACCAAGAGTAAAATATTTACCCTGTGTGTGTGTGCGGACATGTGTAATATGGGGTAGGAAAGAACCAATACAAGATCCACATTGGAGATGTAAAATTATATATATATGTATAAATAAAGGAGGTGCAAATGGAAGAAACAAGTTTTTTTGGGTTTTTTTCAGTCCTCCTCAGTAAAATTGGTCACCTCTAACCATTGAGACATTGGATGCCATAATAAAATGAACAAAATCAGGTGATGAATGAAAAGAAAGGATTGTTAAAGAGATCAAGGTTAATGAGAAATGTCATAAGAAACAGCAACACACAAATCGTGTATTCAGCAAATGGCAAAATAACATTCATATGTAAATAAAATATCAGTTTCCTGTGACTGGAAAAGACACATGTACGCAATTCTCCACATATTATTGATTTTATTTAAGAATTGGGATCTTGAGTTTTGGCTGAAATCAGACATTGTACTTGCAAGAAAAAATTCAGAACTCCAATTGGATGGCTTCTGATGTAAATGCCAAGGAACAGTAAAATGGTACAAGATTGACCATTTGTAGGCTCATAACGGATTTTTTTATTTAATCCAAATGAAAAATAACTTATGAAATCTGGCACAACAAAAGAACTGTTGAAAATAAAACAATCTGGAGAAAAATTTGATAATTAGATTTCTATTTCTAAAAGCTTCTGAGAAAAATATATAAAATTAAAATCTTTTTTTTCTCTATCAATAGGGAAAACAAATTGGCATTATTAATGATACCATCGCTAAAAAAAAAAAAAAAAAAAAAAAAAAAAAGGCAGGGGAGAAGCCAGAGAAGAAACACTTTAGTTTCTGTTATAAAAACACTGAAAGAGTGAATCCTTCTAACAGGAAGGAAAACCACCCAGGCTCAATAGCCAGGATAGAAATCAATAATAAATGAAACTCTGTGTGTGTATATATGTAAATGAACCAGCAAGGGGTTGTAGCAAGTGCCACCCAATGACTGCTATGTTTTCTGCCAGATATCTTATCTTACCTTCCATTTGCACCTCTCATACTGAGAACAATAAAGTGTTCCCGTTATAGAAAATACAGGATGCAAAATTAATGAATTCATCTTGCATATGAATGGAAAGGCCATGAGAGAGAAATGTCATTTTGGATTGTTAAAAGAGAAACTGAAGAAAATTTATTTTTGGAGAAGTTGGAAGATATCAAGATGAAATGAAACCAAAAATCATTTTATAAAATGAAGTCATTTTCAAATGCAGGGGGATTTTGTTTACAAGAAAAAAAAAAGTAAAGAAATTTCTATTCATGTTTTTGAATAAATGCTAAAAGCAAAAAATGACTGGTAGAGACTGGGCCACTCAATAATACTGAACACAATTGAAAATGATCCACTTAGGAAGAACAGAAACTCAAATGGTGTAGGGATTCTTATTTTCTTACTCAAGAAAAGCAATTTCTTTTTTTTTAGTTTCCTAGGCTAGATGGTTTTTTCTTTCTTTTTGCCCCTATATTATAGTTACTTTATCATCTTTGTTTTCCATGAATAATATCTAGTCCAACTCTTGGAGGTCATTCTGACCAAACTGACTGTTATTAAGAGAAAATTGCTCACAGGAAATATTCAACATTAGTTGATCAGTTGATTCTTTGTCTTTATGCTCACACAATTACAAATTCTTTTAGGTAGTTACTAAGCACAGCCATAGTCTAGCATAAGGCCAAAATTATAGGGCACCCAGTGAGGATCTAACTACATAGTAGTTATGGTCTGCTAGACAAACTTGCTTAACCATTACCCAACAATGAGATGCTGTAGAGGCTATTTCAATAATGATGCAGACAGTTGAAAAAGGAGTGTAAAAAGAAATAAAGCCAAGGAAATCCAAATGCTGTAAGGCTGAAAATTTTAACTAAGCAAATAACTGCTTAATATTAATAGCTATTCTGTATGAAACAGTAGAAAGCAACTCAAGTTTAAAGCAAACATTTACCTATTTGAAGTGTGGTATCATCTATAGAAAAATAAATTGCCTTAAAAGCATAGTTAGAAGTGACAATAAGGCCAATTCTTTTGATAAGCTAATTGATTTAAAATCAGAAGAATCACAAACAACTTTTATTAATTGTAGAAGGCAAAAAAGGTCACCACACACATACATCTTGCATAAAAACAACCTCATTTATTGTTTGTGAAAAGAGGCAGATAAGTTTTTATAGATTTAGCCACCCAAAAAAAATGTGTTTGTTTCTATTTCAAATGAAAGTTCATGTACCGGTAACAACCACTGTGAGGAGAGGGGATTTGTTTTAGTCAGATTAACTATGATTATAGCAGTAATAATAAATAATTGTAAGAGTAAAATTAAAATGGTTGTTAATGCAAACATATTCTACGGAATGTCGGAAATGGCCAATGACAATTAGCAGAGAAGCACCACTGATTCATTCTCCTCAAAAGTCACACACACCCAATTTGTTCCTTGCAGTCAACTTAAAAAAAAAAAAAAAAAATAATCTTCATATTTTATCAACAAAAGTAGGTGGGGGTGGATTCGAGTGGCAACTAAAGAGCAGAAAAAATATTCAGAAACAAAAAAATAAAATTTTACATTTAAAAAATTGAGGAAAGAACTATTATTTTTAAAACCACACCAAATGTTTTGCAAAAATTTATCTAATTTTTAAACATTATAATAAAAACATACAAAATAATAAAACCCCTCTCACACTGCAACTTTTATAGGATTGCATGTAGCAGGGAGTCAGAGAGAAAACAAAGACTTTTTGTTCCAAGATTTCCTTGAATATTCAAAATAAAACCAAGGAAAGAAGAGTTTAATCTTAACTTAAATGTTGCAGTTAAGGCAAAAAAAAAAAAAAAAAAAAAATTAGAAAGAATGTTGTTTAAGCATTTCCAGAAAAGGAAGGCTTTTTTGACTTGGCAAGGAGAAAATGACAAAAAGTGACTTTGAGTTTAGGATATAAAAGACAAACACACACATACATACATTCCCAGAGCTGATGACAGCAGCAGCAAATTTTCTTTCCATTATCTGTATTTTGTCCCTCAACCATCTTTAGTTTATATCAACTTACACATAATTATAGAGGCATATTTTCATACAGACATACACACACACACACACACACACACACACACACACACAAAAAGAAACAGGGAGAAGGCTTTTTTTTTCTTTGTGTCAGCAACAAGTTTTCCTGCAAGAAAAGTTTATTGACACTGTGACATGCGTCAGGTAGAAGTCATCAGAGACATCGGCAGGAGTCGGCCAACAAAGTCAGATTTTTTTCAAACTCAATAACACAGTGGACTTTTGTTGCAGTCTAAAGGTTCGACTTTGCCGTTGTGAAAGATGAATACGCTACTTGACTTCTTACGTACATAGATAGCATTGAAACCAAAGCCTCCACGGCTGATGACCAAAACATCGCATAGTGAGAGAACATGCTGGTCGAGCAGGGCTTTCTCAAAACCACCACAGGCAAACTCATCTCGTCCAGGCTCATAGCTGTCCACATGCACTATGGCACCTTCTACATCCACTATTTGCTTAGCAAATAATTTTTTGGCACTTTGCCGAACTGTCTGTGAGTCTGTTGTGACAAATATCTTATAAATGCTGCTATCATTATATTTCTGGAGAAATTTCCACACTGCTCCAACTGAGGAGTATTTGTTTCTCACTCGAAAGTCTAAAGGAATCGTTGGATTTGTACCAAGACGAATTTGTGCACATACCAATTTAGTAGTGTTGTTCGGGATGAATTTTTTTAACGTGCTCTCAATACGTTTGTTCATGTAACTGCTGTGCTGAAACATTTGGTTCATGACTTTTGCAAAACTAGTTCTCCAACTCATCCTGTCAAGAGACCTAAGTCTACGCTTGTAACGACCGTTCTTCAGCAATGGGTTGATGTACCAACGATTTGTCACAACATAGATGACATCTGCATGGAACAAGGAGTCCAGATTAGCAGTGTTCAGCGTCTTTGTGAACATGTCATTGCTGATCAAATCAAAATACTGAGCACTACGATGCTGGATTTCCATCATGTCAATGTTCCAGTTCACTTTATTTGGTACAAAGAATTTGGTTAAGACACATGGCTTGGTCATGACAATCCCAAACGTCCTGTTAGTAGCCATGGCCAACACATAGGCAGACATGATGCCACGTTGACGATCCCCCCATCCAAGGCACCGTGTTAACTTGTCACAATAGTAAATGAGGTACTTGGTTTTGGAGGCTGGGGATTCTGTTGACTTTTCTGTAGGTTTCACATTTTTCTCACTCAAGGAGCTACTCATACTTATATTATGATGATTTTGCATGAGAAGCAGGAAGACTAGTGTCCCCACACTCATCCCAGTGAAGAGGACAGCCTGAAAGAGAAATAATAAATATTAATAGAAAAATAAATACAAATTATCATTCCATACATTTGCTCCCTAGTTAAAATTTGTTGTAAATCCCTTGCAAAAATAGGGACTCATCTTCATTATACATTTGTTTGTTAGATAGCCTTAAAAATGTTTAATTTTATGTTCATTCAAAAAGATAGTTTTCAGCTGGATTCTGATAGTTGTTATACCTGCATGAATTTAACAAGCCCTATAGGCAAAACTGACATATTTTAGTTTATTGATCCTAACATTTACTAATATTCTTAGCATGTCATAATTTTCATTGTATAATTAGAAAGAATAAGACTCAAACATGAAATAAAAAAATATTAAGGTTTGTGCACCACTTTTGACATTCAAACCTTTTGTACTGGATATTTCTTACACAGGCCCTAAAATCAGATAGAGCAGGTTGACTGATCAAAGCAAAACATTACAGCATAATGGACATTGTACATTAATGGAGACATTAGTTTCACAGACATATGCAAAAATAATTTTCAATCTGAGATGGTTGCTATAAATAAACACTTGTCAACTGTTATTTTTGGTATTTTAAGCTGGAAATCGCCTACTACTACTTTGGAACAAGGCTAAACTTCCATTTTCTAACGTTATTTTGAATTCTTGTAGACTACATCAGGTGAAACATTGATTAAACCCACGTTAATTTTTTCACGATTTTTTGTAAACAAAAATGGCTGTGTCAATATCCAAAAAAGCCTTTATTTAGGAGTTTTTCTTTGATTAACACTCCAATGATGATTTTGAAGCTTTACTCAAGTGGATATTGATGGTGAAATAGTTGGAGATGATAACCACGCTAGTGATATGGAGGAAAGCGACGATGAGCTAGTGGCTACTATCATCCATGCCTGAATAATTTTATGGATTTTATTTATAATTTTTTTGCTACTGACAACGATCAATATATCTGAGCCTTTCTGAAGGTGAATTATTTTGTCTATTTATAAATGACGAAATAACTTTATTCAATGAGGCAAATAAGTGAAAGAAAATGCAATCAAATGCTAGTGTCTACTCGTATGTAAACACGAGGACACACGTCACTTTTTATGAAATGAAAGCCTTTTTAGTGATTTTGCTTCTTATTGCACCCCCAGAACTACACAAGGAGTAATAAAAGTTAAAGTATGTTGAATTATTTATGTATTCTTTAATGTGTTTCTTTTTTATTTCACATTTTTTTTTTATTTCGTGTTTCAATTTTTGTTTTCAACATCAAAACATGCATTACATCAAAATATCACTCATTCATTCTTTTATTAGTATAAAAAAATTAAAATCTATACACACAATACAAAGAAAGTTATATCAATTTTTAAAACAGTAGGTGTTCATGTTTTTGCATCCTCAAAAAAAAAAAAAAAAAAAAAATTCAGAAAGAAATTAGCATGGTAACGGTTAAGTTACTAACCTGGTCGTCAGCAAAAGGTGATAATATTCATTTAGTGAGATTGGAAGATTGCTTCAAATAAGGTAAATAATAAAAACATCTGATATGGTCTATCATATATAATGGGTACATCAGAAGATATTCAGAGGATCTGTGGTCCATATAACATCAGGACCGTATTCAGAAAAAGACCAAGCAGGCTGATGCTCTGATAAATGACAAAACAGTCACTATTGCAATACTATGAAAATCTACAGGTAAGCCACAGTAGTGCTTGCAGTTTACTACTGTTTCTTGGTGATGCAAAGGACTGTGTAGGAGTAAGTTTGCAGAATGCTGACAGACTCCATGAAGTAGAAAAGTGTGTTTTTTTTACAATTGCTCACCCAATACAGGGCCCAAGAGTCATTCAAGGCAGAGGGTGATTACTGAAGTTGCTCTAAGAATGTACAGGGAGGGAGCAAGAGATATGTGGGACAGGTGATGGTTGACTCAACTGGAAATGATTGGGGAAGCATCCTCTCAGAAGTGCATTTGACAATGCAACAGTTATGGGGGGGGAAGCTGTCTGAGAGGAACTTCAGCCTTACCAATGGAATATGGTGAGAATAAGTTGATTTAATGTATGCAGCATAGTAAGTCATAGTTGTGAAGGTCTGGACTGGTGAAACAAACATCTGCAATGAAATTAGCAATAATGTAGCAAGAAGCTAGCAATATTTAATCTATTGGAAATGGGTTTGTAGGATGGAAAACAATTCATCACCCACATAATTGATCAAACTTCAGTAAAATATTTTCTGTTTGTCCCATTTAGTTGAAGTGGAAAACTCTTTATATAAGAAATATATATGCAACTTTTACTGAAGAATATTGATACAAACTGTTGGCAGAGATTCACCAGTGCCTTTGTTTATACAGGTTGCTGATAAATTATGCATCCATAGGTAAGAAGAAATTAATTTCATTGAAGCAAATGATAGCCTGGGGTTTGTGACACTCATGGATATAGTTAATTAAACATTAAAATTTTCTTGTTAAATCAGAACTGATGTTGTTACATTCAGAGCTGATTTTCTCTTTTAGTGCAAAAGATCTAGTTGGCCATTTGATAAAAAAAAAAAAAAAAAAAACTTCACGGCAATAGTCAAATCATTTGAGCAATATCTTGCTGAAAGCATATCTTATATAGTCTCTTCCACCCAAAAGGAATGTCATCCAATTGTGGAACAAGAAAAGAGTGTAACATACAGAAGTATATTTTTTCTTGTTAGATCACCAACAAAAGGAAAAAAAAAAAAAAAAATAGCCCAATTAATCTGTTGTGAAATATCACCACTCACACCAGGGTATGTGAATCCATTTGAAAATGGTCTTCTGCCACAGAATTTGAGTTGTTTATATATACTAATAATGAGCAATATACCAGTTGACACTTCCATTTAGATGCAATGACACTACATTATAAAAATATCTAATTTCATATAAAGAAAAATTTGTATGGATCCAAACTTTTGGGATATCCTGTATATTGTGTCATTTTTTTAAACCCTAAAAGACATTAAAAAGAAAATTCCTATAAAATTTAGAATTCTTTTTCCATATAAATAGTCTCTCTCATTTTCTATGAGTAGCTACTTAGTGCTAAAGTTTAATGAGAAATTGACTGGCTTTTAAATTAAAGACAAAATAGTTATTAGATTATAAAAAATGCTCAGGAAATTACCCCTACAGTAGTAATGAGAGAAAAATCAACATTGTTTATTGTGAGATGTTGTTTACAATATGAATTTAAAAACAAGATTTGGTGTTGCTGAACATAGCACTGCTTAAAAGTGGTGAGGAGACTCTTGTTTCTAATTGGATTTCATAATAAAGAAATACTCAAACAGGAGCTTTGATTTTTCACATCAATATACTTTTTTGTTGGGAAAAGAATTCTAAATTCTATAGGAATTATTTTCTTAAGTTTTTTTCCTTTCTAAAAAGGGAAGCATTAAAAAAAAAAAAAAAAAAAAAAAAAAAAAAAGACAATATACAAGATGTCCCAAAAGTTTGGATCCGTAAACATTTTTTTTATATGAAAAAAGATATTTATATAATGATGATGAGTCATTGCATCTAAATGGTAATGTCATCTGGCATATTGCCCATTACTAGTATATATAAATAACTCAAATTGGGTGTCAGAAGACCATTTTCAAATGGATCCAAAATATCACCACTCACACCAGGATTCCCTGGTGTGAGTGGTGATATTTTGCAACAGATTAATTGGGCCATTTTTTTTTTTTTTTTTTCCTTTTGTTGGTGATCTAACAAGAAAAAAAACATACTTCTCTTTTGTTGTTCCACAGTTGGATGACATTCCTTTTGGGTGGGAAAGACTGTATAAGATGCATGCACAAGTCATTTTTTCCATCTCAGGCTTACCGGGAGGAACAGAAGTTCTCATTTTCAGACTAAAGCTGCTGACTGCCTGACTAGTACATTCACAGCAGACATTTTAAGAGCTGCTTATTTCTTCTTCTTTCACCCTTAACCCTGGAAGGAGTTGTTGGGGCACCGATGTGCTGAGCTGTCCACCATTCTCTTACATCTGTCGTGGTTGTGTGTCTCTGCAAATGGTTTCTTGATGTGCTCATGTGGTGTGTCTTGGGTCTTCTAATCTGGTGGAGACCATCTCTTTCCAGATTAGACCACAGCTGATGTCCTCCAATTCAGTGGCTCACCTTGGTTGCAAACACTTGGCTGTTGCAGTTCTTCTGAGGAACCCTAGATGACCCTGCGTTGAGAAGGTCCAAAAAAGTGGTGCTGTGTTAACACCACATGCTCTCATGAGTTTAGCCCACCAGCTGAAATGGTTTACCAGGATATGGCAACTAGGAGCCACCATGTGAGAGATTTAGATGGTTGAGGACCAGTGATGCTTGTCCACCTGAAGGTGCAGTGTGCCAGACATCAAAGGTATTATTTCTATCCAGAACCCCTTATACCCATATATTTTACACTGGATGTCAGAGTGAACAGTTAGTCATCAAATGTACCACTTTAATATGATATATAATTTTAAATAATAGAAATCAATAAATGAAAAAAGAATAAAAGTTTAAAATTACCATCAAGTATGTGAGAAGATTTATTTTTATTATTACTTTTGTTGTTAAAAATTCACTATTCTGAAGAAATAAAAAAAAAAAACAAAACATTATGATGCTATAATAAAAATTATAACATAATAAACAATGAAAAATATAAGAATAAATGGATAATTAAAATAATCAAAACATCCTTTTAAAATGACATCTCTTTCATTGAGCAATGAAGAAAAAAAAAAAAAGCATGTCTGTTCACTCCAACATCAGTGTTTAATGTATACCTTTCATAAATAAAGGGAACATGTAATACCTTTTATAACCTGATATAACTATTGTCTTTAATTTAAAAGCCAGTCAATTTCTAGTAAACCTTTGACACTAACTAGTTACTCATAGAAAATGAGAAAAATATTTTGATCAAAATTCAAGCCACAAAACAAGGAGACTTGTGTAAAAGGTAAAAA